CCTGTGATCATATTTGAAGAGGAGAGTCCAATTCATAACTTCAAAGGTAAAAGATAGATTTTAAATTTGACATAATATAACTTATTTGAATGTTGTAAAAAACTCGATAACAATCCTGTCAGTATTTTTCAACAAGAACTGTTTATATATATATATATATATATATATATATATGTGTGTGTGTGTGTGTGTGTGTGTGTGTGTGTGTCAACGTTTTTTATCATTGTTTTAATAGTTTCCGTCGAAGTTGTATTTTGTCAAAATTAAAATTGGAAGACTTACAAAAGATAATCCAAGTACTCCTGGCTAAGAATTGTTATCAAGTTTCGTCTTTTTATAAAATTCTAAATCGCACATTATCGCTTTCCCTACTTTGCTGCAATAATTTTCATGTCACATCATTTGCAACGTCTAAACTGTAGGCTTACTAAGCATTTCTCAATATTCAATGTATTGTTTATATATATATATATATATATATATATATATATATATATATATATAAATATATATATATATGTATGTATGTATGTATGTATAAGAAATAGCCACAATATTATTGATATATAACAAATATTAATACCTAACAAAATGTATTACATAGCACCCATTACTTAAAATTATGAAAACCGCTGTAATATAAGTGAATCAGGCACCATTAAATTGTGCATTTTCTTCAAGGAACATCTTTTGTGCATAAAACAATTAAATTTAGATAGTTTGAACGTGGTTCTAACTAATTAGGGAAAGTCACAATTATCCAAATGCTTTTTTAAATGCACAAGTCACAATTCTTGATAACGACTCTATTGAGAGTCGAAACTACTCAGGCATAATAAATAACTGTAGAAGTTCCCTACTGTTAATTCTACCATAAAACAGCTTAGTCGACACTTGGAAAAGCTTAATAACAACGGAAAGAGACAACTAGTTGGAATTCCTTCAATTCAGGATGCAGATGATGTAGTTCATGCTTCTTCAGAGAGGCCTTTCTTTTATTGTGTCTAATACGGGTGGTTTTCTAAAACAGATAACAGAGTGATTTCACACGTTGTCTTCTCAACTGTTTTGAAGTCGGAATTGCAACTCGAGTAAAAGATGCTAGCCTACGCTATTGTTTGACTCATAGCTAGATCAAGGGAAATATCAGAAACAAAGAAAAATGTGATACAGAATTTTATAAAATCCACTATCGAATCACTGAGTAATTTCAACACAAATACAGAAATATTCTGAAGCGAATGCCTCGTGATTTAATCAATTTCAGTTGAGATTACTATTGACGTAACATGAGACAGATGGTGAAGCTTAAAGGCATATCTACTGTTGCTACGTTATCATAACTAAACAATTTGTCAATTTTAAGAATGTTCATTCCTGAAACTCTAGCATAATAAACGTTCAAAATTAGCGTTTAAGCTATCTCCAGCGTAAAGCTAATTGGGCCTCTAATTAACGGCAAATTGGGTCATGTTTAGAAAACAGCAATTATAATTTTGGAGAAGTAACTTTGAATTCTTCAATTCACTACATTGGACATAAAAACATCACTTTAATTCTGATTTGGGCTATCACTTCAATTCCGGACAAATAACCTATTTTGGACGAATGTCCGATTTTGACCGAAACGCCGATTTGGACTGAACTTCAAATTCAGGGCGAAAATTATGTTCTTCAAAGCACTAACTCCGCTGAACATCATTTTCGTTGAAGTCTTTAAATCACAAACGCTTCGGAACTTCAAAACATCACGTCATAAAACCTCTTACTCTAACGCTGATTCCTTGGCATTTTGATGAAAATATTGATGTGTTTTTTGTTTTATATTAATATATTCTTTCTATAGTAGTTTCTATCATGTTTTTTTTTTAATTAGATATCATCATCATCACAAGAAAATCAACAGTATCAACTAAAATGACGCACATAATAGGATGCTGTGGCACCATGCATATCTGACGAGCTGAGAGAAATATTCATAGATATATGATTTGTTTTTTACGGTTTATCAACCATTTAATAATTATTTAAGGCCGAAAAATATTTTGGGTCTTAAGAATAATTCTTTCTTTACATTCAAGCGATCTGGAAGAAAGAAAGAGTAAACGAAGAAGAAAGAAAGAAAAAATAATACGAAAACAGGTCATAGGCGAGCACACACACGCACGGCTGACAGATAACAGGTGTCGAAAACTTTTCAGGTCAAGCATCTGACCGATTTCCGCGGATCCGCGAAAAATGGAAGTTTGTTATCAATTGGTTGTCACCCAAGGGAAAAGAAAGAAAGGAGGAAAAGGGGAAACAAAGTTTAGGGACACTGAAAATATTGATAAGTAACAAGTGGGAAGTGTGTCATTGGAATGATAGTAAAGGTCTAAGTGGGTGTGGAAGTGTATCTAAGGATATGAAGACAAACCATTAATACGAAAACACAGACAGTCTCCAGAATTAGAACAAGCCCACACAAGGTGTTGTCGCTGGCGAAATTTTTTTTTAGATAATAAAGATTTTTATTATCAGACCTTCGAGCGGAGGGAAAATTGAAATATTTTTATTCCGTCTCAGAAACGCCAACGAGTCTGAGAAATTCCTTTCTTAGATCATATCCAATTAGCTATAAACTGCTTGACAAATACCACGTGTTAAAAAGCCGAGAGTGTCACTTCAGTCGCTCATGATAAGGGCGATTTAAATTAATATTTTTGTTTTTTAAGCAAGGTATTTCTTTCCGAAAACAAAGCCACGGACTGTCCACGCCAGACTAAAGACGTCATTGGCTAAATAAGATCACATGACACACGAAGGAGGAGGAAAGATACCCGACCAGGACCTCATTGGCCGAGAGCGATCACGTGACGCACGAGGAGAATCGGTCGACGCCCCTGTCAGGAGTGTAAGTGTAAGAGCCGATACGAAGAAGGGGAAGCGGGTACACGCCCTCAGAGGCACAGTAAGGGGAGGGAGTGAGAGTGAGTTACCGAAAATGGAAAAGAATTAAAAAATCCCTAACCAGAAATAAGAAGGGTGGATACGTATTTAGAATTATCGAAGAAGCCCTGGCGCCGACAGACCCACCCCAGTTTTGACTGCGTCAATAAAAGCGAGACCCCAACCGACAGAAATCAGAGTTCAACAGCGAACGGCAAGCGGAGTGGAACCGCGGACGGCGGCCCGAGTTCGGTCGCCCACTTTGCGGGCAAGAGAGGCCAGTTCGTTTGGCCTAAGTGAAGAAGTTCGTCTGACCCAAGCCGAAGAGAAGAAGTTAGTTCGCGCACCGACGGCGGAGATGAGTGACCAGTAATTCAGACTCTGGAGAGAAAGAGTTCTGTTTGTTCGACCCAAGCCGGAGAGAAGAAGTCAGATTGAGCCGCGGACCCTGGCGAGAAGTTTTGAACCTTGGACGACAAGCAGAGATGAACACCCAGTGTTGAAACCGCGTCAAGATAGCTGACCAAGATTCACGCACACTTCTGGACTCTTCTTCAACCAAGAACAAGTAGTTTGAAGAGCGACTTAGAATCAAGACCACAGAAATAAGTTTGTTTTCGACTTTCGTCCAAAGACACACCGAAACACAAATTTCTTAGAGAGCAGACAACTTGAAGCATTAAAATTGCCTAGTAAAAGCGTCGTGCCACAATCCACAGAACGGGTCGGGAAGTAGACATAGTCCTATGTACGGAGCAAATAGACATAAAAAGTTTGTTACCTTTTTCTTTGATACGTTGGAACTTGTGAGTTTTTATTTTAATTTCTTTTATACATAATTGTGTTATTATCACCCCGTTGGACTCAACTTGCATTACGGCCCCAACCCCTGTTTGATCTCGTCTGTCTAAGATCAATTCACAACGTGGGTAGGCAGACTGGAGATCAGTGCAGTTACCCCTGGTAACCAGGCGTTGGAAGCGGGTTGGGAACGGCGAGGCTGGTATCAATCTAACCAAAGGGTTAGAACGTCACGTTTGGAGCAGCGAGGAGCGAACAGCTGACGCCGCGGCGAAGACGTCGCAGTTGGTTCTGTCCGTGACCAGGATATCAGAGCCTGGGAAGCACGTAACGTCACAATTGGCGCCGCGACCGGGATCGAACGACATAGTCGACGCTGCGACCGGGGGACGACGTCACAATTGGTGCCGTGACCAAAGGATCAACCCTGAGACAGCCACGTCACATCGATCAACCGCTGTTGCTGAGAAATTTCAAATAGGACTCAAAACGACCCGGGACCGAGAGGAACGAGAACAGAATCGTCTGTAATGTAGGACACTTTATTTTATTTCCCAACCTCGATTGTTGCTGCGTAGATTGTCTTTCTCTTTAAATATGTCGGACTATGATTCAGATAGAGCAGTGGGGGATGAAGAGGGAGTAAGACAAGGATTGTCAGCTGACCTAAGAAGGCTGTTAGGTGAGGGTCCCAGCATTTGACGGCAGTGGGAAAGATTTCAAAGGCTGGCTGGCAATCCTGGAGAAGAGCCGAGTTATTTACGAACTTTCAGACCACGAAACCCTGTATTTGGCATACGATGCCACAAAAGGGAAAGCGTCTGAATTTATGAAGAAGCTCTTGGAGAGTCAAACCCACTTGTCTTGGGAAAGATTAAAGGGACTATTGACCAAGGAATTCACCGACGAGGGCACGGCTATAGAAGGCCATGAGGGCCCTCCTAAAACTGACACAGCTGCGGACGAAACCCAGTGAGAATTGGGGGCCCGAGCAGGGAAGCTGACATCATTGGCCTTCACGGAAGTGGTTAAAGACAATGCGGTCATGCAGGCTCAACTAGCAGACCTGTATGTGGAGGCGCTAAGTGACGAGCGTGTTCGTCACAACGTGCTAAAAGAGGGACCGCTGAGAATGTCGGCCGCAATAGAGCTGGCCAAGGAGAGCCAGGGCGTATGGGAAAAGGTGAAGTGGTGTGGAAGGAAACAGATACTAAGTCAGGAGGCCGGAAGAAGAGGGGTAGGCGGGAGACCCCCCGCGTGGAATCAGAAGGTTAAATTAGAAGTAGATCAGGCTGAAGTATGGGAAGAAGACCCCAATAGAAGGGCATGGTCGACCAGGCATGGCTTTTATAAGCCCACGCCGGGCAGATAAGGGCTGGTCTGCTGGACCTGTGGGCATGGGGGCCACAGGGCGGCGGTGTGTACGACGAAGTGGGGGTTGCCCCCAGACTTCGATCGTGACAGGTGCACCAGGTGTGGTAAGAAAGGACACCTGGCCAAGTGGTGCGGGCGGAGGAAAGGGGCCCCACCGATATTAACAAACAAGGCTGAGCCCGAGAAAAGCCAGCGGGCCACCCCGGAATTAAGAGGGAGGGTGGCCCAGTTAAAAAGAAGAAGCTAAAATAAAAGCTTGGACCAGTGGTCGGGCGAACCGCTTGGGTAGAGGACGGGTACCCCCCGGAGTAGACGGGAGGTTAGCCCAGTTGAAAAGGAAAAGAGCAAAATGTTGGACATGTGGTCGGGCGGGCCACTTTGCGGCGAACTGTCCGACAAGAAGGTGCTGGTTTTGCAGGAGGCCAGGACACCTGAAGAGAAGCTGTATCCTTAGAAACAGCCGCGGGAGATTGGGAGAGGTCCGGCCGGGGTCGCCCAGGTGCAGGGGGCGCAGAACTCCACCTCATGAGAAAAATGAAGGTGATTTATTACTACCGGCGCCTATGGCTGGGTTAACCCAAGGGTGGGGACCCAGGAAGAGGAAAGCTCAAGTGTTCTCTTCGCTAACGCAAGAGAAAGAACTATCCTGTAGAGCGGAGATAGGGGGTAGGGCGATGAGAGCTCTGGTGGACACAGGAGCATCTGTGTCATTGATGAGAAAGGAAGCATACAGGCGGGTGAAACGGAAGAGAAGGTTACGGGAAGCGGACAGAGAGGTCACACAAGCAGATGGAGCCCCCCTGAAGATAAAAGGGATGGTGAGGCTCCCGGTGAGGATTGGGAAAGTAAGAAGCACCCAAAATTTTTACGTAACCCCCGACCTGTGTACGGAGGCAATCTTGGGAGAAGACTGGCTCCGGAGCCAGAGGGCCCAGATGGATTTTTACTCCACTGTGTTGGTGTTGAATGGCGAGAGAACGCCATTGGGATGCCCACCAATGCGGTACCAGACAAGAAGGCTAGAACTGTGGCCGGGTTGATAATAAGTGAAATCTTCCCTAGGTATGGCGCCCCTGTGCAATTGGTAACAGATAATGGCACGGAGAATGTGAACAGCATAATGAGAGAAGTTCTGACAGGTTTGAATATAGAGCACGTAAAAACATCTCCATATCACCCCCAAGGAAATGCTAAAGTGGAAACGTTTCATAGTACCTTGGGAGATGTATTGGCCAACCTGGTCAAGGAAAACACTGGAAATTGGGACTTGTATTTGACGCAGGCTCTGGCGGCCGTGAGGTTTACGATAAACGAAACCTCCATATTTTCTCCTTACTTTCTGTTGTTTGGCAGAGACGTGGTCCTGCCTGTGGATAACCTACTGAAGCCCCGAAGAAAGTATATGGGAGAAGATCATCATCAACTATTGCTGGAACAACAACATAAAATGTTTGTACAGGCCAGAAGAAGAATAAAGAGGGCCCAGAAGAAAAGAAATGAGAGAGTGAATGCTGAAAGAAAGGTAGTAGAACTGAAGGTTGGGGACCCTGTCTACTATAAAATCCCCCAGAGGGAAGGAAAACTGGACCAGAGATGGGAACCGTACTACCGGATAGTAGAGCAGACGGGTCCAGTATCATATGTAATATGGGATCAAGTGGCAGGACGAGCGATGATGATCTGAAGAAGGCTGAAATAGCTAACCTGGAAATGAACGAGCCGAGGCCTAAGAAGACAAGGACAAGGAAGGTAACTCTGGTTGAACCAGAAGAAATGGAGACGGAAGAAGATTCCGAAGAAGATGAGGAGATAGGTCGACTTGGCCAGATAGACGAAGCGATCCGAGTGACGGAGTTGGAACCCTCAGCGGGGATTAGCGATGTTCAGTCGTCGACTGAATCGGTGCAGAAAAACCCTGTGAGGTCGCCATCGCACCCCCATGTCCAAAGAAAAGGAAGAAAAAAACGAGTAGATCCAATCAAGCAGTCGAGGGCTCTAAAAAGAGGCACCCTGAACAGGACGAAGGGCCCAGCGAGTGGGAGGAGGAGGATCAAATACCCCTTTCCCAGCTCAAGGAAAGGATAAGGAACAGGAGAGATTTAGACATAGAGTCGAGAGGTATTAAAGACATCCAAGGCGAGGACTCTAAACAGAAGGAAGAATCAGGGGATGAAGAAGAGGACAAAACACCTCCTGGACGGGAGTTAAACACAGAGAGAAGGTTAGAGGTTGAGCAGAGACCACCTCGGAAGATGAGATCAATAAGGGTGAAGAACCACAAATCTCAGTAGAACAAGAAGGCTGTGCAGAATAGAAGCATTCAGTGTCGACAAGATAACGACACTGGCTCATCCAAAAACCTGCTGGCTGACTGTGGTGGATGTGGATGGAGGGGATGGAGTCGCGGGCTGCACCTCACAAGGGATTGAAGAAGATTATTGGCATTGTTGATTGACCATCAGTGGTGTCATGAAGTACGACCTTTGGAGTGAGTGCCACGCGTGTCTGTCCAGGCCATTCTATCTGCTAGAGGTTAGTTAGGGGAGGGAAGAGCTGAACTTAGTAAGAAATTATGAAATAATTGAGTGATGAGTCGAGCGAGACTGAATGGTTGTGAAGAATAACAACAAGAGAATTTTGTTACCTTTCAGGAATGATCAAGATGAAAGGTTTGATGATGACGATGATGGCAGTAGGCACGTTGATAGTGACGATGGTGGAAGCTGGGAAGCGCAGCCGAAACACCATTTTTAAAAAAAACGAGCGAAGTAATAATAACTAGGTCTAAATGGTTGATCACATTCGTGATAGATTTGAACCCGTATGAGTCGCTACTAAATAAGTTAGGAAACGAGCTAACGCAACTGGATGCAGCCCTGTTGAAAGTAGGACAAGATTATCCCAAGGAAAAAGGGTATCTTAGTTTATTGCACTCCCTAGAATCAGAGGCCACTATGATAGAGGCTCAATGGAGGGACATGCAAAACTACCTGAAGGGAATAGAGTTACTGCAGACGCGGGAAAGGAGATCAGTAGTTCAGATTGTGGGAAAAGCGTTGAGTGTCCTGTTTGGAACAGTGACTGAAGATGACGTTAAATTCATAAGAAGGAAACTGGGAGAAGTGGAGGTAAACCAGAGGACGCTTGCTCAGGTGGCAAGGGAGAGTGTGACAATATTAAATGTGACAAGGTTAGAAGTGGCCAAAAATAGAGCCAGAATCAATTGGTTAATAGACAACCTGGCAAGGTTGAGACAAGAGGTAATTAATAATACAGAAAATGTAATGATCGAATTACAGGAAATGAGCGGATACATGCAAAAATATTTCCAACTGATGACAATTACGAATAAGGTACGACAAACTAGTCAGTCGTTGACGACCTTGCTGGAACATGTGAGAGCGCAATTAGACATGCTGTCATTAGGACACCTCTCCCAAAGCATAGTAAACCCGGGTCACCTAAGGGAAGCGCTACTCCGAATACAGGCCGAGTTATCCCACCATTTAAGTCTGCCAGTGGACCCCACCAAAGAATTGTGGAAGTATTATAATGCACTCGGATGTGTGACCTTGTTAGAAAATAAGCGACTATTGGTTGTGATATCTGTTCCGTTGTTAGATAGCGAGAGTATATTCGAGATATACCAGGTTATAAAATTACCCATTCCCTACCCCAGAAGAGATCAAGGATTGGGAATGATAGCAGGGTACAAGGTGGAAGCAGACTACATAGCTTTAAATTCGGGGAGAACGAAATTCATGTTGCTATCAGCTGAAGAAGCTGGATGGTGTAGAGATGATGCTCTAGGGACTTGTACCTCGTTAAGCCCTATCTATAAAACTGGTAATCGCAGAATGTGCATACTAGAATTGTTTGAAGGGAAGAGGGAAGTAATCAAAAGAACCTGCCAAGTGGAGGTATTAACAAACACGGCATTACCACAAGCTATCAGTGTTTCAGACGGGGTGTGGGCAGTTGCCACACAGAAGCCTATCAGCTTGTCTAAGTTATGTGGGGGAGAGTCCACAATGACATTAAGAATAAGGCCACCAGTATCCCTGTTAAATTTACCCATGGGATGTTCGGCGGTTGGGATATCCATTTCCTTACCCCCTATTAACAGGAAGAAGAAAGATATGAAGAGAAAGATTCAATCATAGAGATGATTGGTAGAGGCTTAGTCAATTGTACAGAATTGTGGGAGCCGATAGTGAAGGGATTCTCTAATGTTACCTTAAATAAAATGCCAGTATTAATGAAGCCGATAGAAAAGATCGATATGGATCAATTGAGAGACAAGTTAAGTGCGTTGGGAAACGAAGGTGTGGCTTGGAAAGACGATGAGCAGATCGCGATGTTGGTCAATAATGATGGGTACATTCCTAATTATAGCCATCGGGGGTGTATTAATATGGAAGGTTAAGAGTAAGGGGTGATTAGCGAACGACAATCTAATGAGCATGCAGCAACTCGAGAGGGAGATGCCGAGCAGTGTTTCTTACTCAGACGGGACTGGCGAAGAAATTGCTGAAGGACCAGCGGAGGAGGCTGGCGTGAGGCCACCACGTGCGGCGGAAAAACCTCCCACAGCGGAGAGAAAAACATTGACCAAGAAGAACAAACCATAGTAACCACATCTGCACCCACAGACACACGCACATATTACTTTTGCATGTAGAAAACATTACATTGCATGTAGAACAAAAGAAGACGAAAAGAACATTACACTTGCATGTAGAACAGAAGAAGATGAAAAGGACATTACCTTTGCATGTAGAACAGAAGAAGAATGGGAAATGGACATACATCATTGAAATGGAACGAATACCGCATCCATGCTGGGTGAGTGATTTGTTATGTCTGCGCGAGTAAGTGTTACAGAAATAGAAATAGTTACATATGACATAAAAGTCGAACGTGAGGAGTGTACACTCTTTGAGTAAAAATGATATTTCAAAACCATTGTATAAATACTAAAAGTAAAATATAAGTAAATGAATATTAGATGATGCATTGAAAAAATAAATGAAAATGGGCTAATTTCAAAGAATGAGAACGAAGAAGATATTCGGAGAGAGGAAAGACAAAATATGGCAAGTAAAAAGGAGAACGAAAAATTCAGTGGGAAGATAATGGTAATGATACTATTAGACGCTTCTTTATAACGAAACATTCGGCATTCATTGGCCATGAAGCCAATACTGATGTCGATTGAAATTCATGAAATTATTCTCCTGAAATAGTTGCTGGTAACGCTCTTACCATCATTGATATGGGGTTCCTTCTTAACCTTTTGTTTGAAGTAGTGTGGAATGTCAACATCATCATTACGCAATTGTTTACACTTCGAATTATATGTGTCATCCAATTTAGTTGTTGCATCCGTTGAATATTTTGATGTGGCTTATTTTATGGGGATATAGTTCTTTATTTGTGATTCTGAAGCGCCAGTCCATAAGTTTTGTTAAGTGTTGCCTTATCAGAACTCCGCTGTGCTTATTCGCTCAAATGCATTTTTAACCATTGATGTTAAAATACGGCACAATGCCACTGAAATTTTTATAATATATCAACGGGTTTGGCGCGATCTGTGACATCCAGAGGAAGGTTTTGATATTACAATGAAAAATAAAAGGAACATAGAGAGAAATAGAATGTTATGGAAATATTTATAATATTTTAGAATTATCAAACGAGAATTGAATGATTTTAAAATATGAAATGGAAGAAAGACAACTAGATAAATAGATACTAAAATGGAAACATGATACAAATAAGAGAAACAAATTAATGCTTT